TTCTCAAGGCCCCATCCAACCTGGCCTTGAACATCCCCAGAGAGGTGGCATCCACAACCTCTCTGGGTAATCTATTCCAAAGTCTTGCCACCCTCAGACTGAAGAATTTCTTCCTAAGAAAAAATCTAAACTTATTCTCCTTCAATTCAAATCCATTTCCCCTTGTTCTACGACTGGACACTCTTGTAAAAAGTCCCTCTCCAGCCCTCCTGTAGGTTCCCTTCAGGTTTTTGAAGGCAGTTACAAGGTCTCCTCCGAGTGTTCTTTTCTCCAGCCTGAACGATCCCAGCTCTTCATCCTATCCTCACAGCAGAGGTGCTCCAGCCCCTGGATCATCTTTGTGACCCTCCTCTGAACACGCTCCAACAGATCCATGTCTCTCTTATGGTGGGGACATCAGAACTGGACGTAATATCCGAGGTGGGGTCTCACACGAGCAGAGTAAAGGGGGAGAATCACTTGTCTTGATTTGCTGGCTGCACTCCTCTTGATGCATCCCAGGATGCTGTTGCCCTTCTGGGCAGCATGAGCACACTGCCGGCTCATGCTGAGCTTCTCATCTATCAACACTCCTAAATCCTTCTCTTCAGGGCTACTTTCAACCCACTCTGTACCTGGTTTATATTTGTGCCTGGGATTGGCCCAGCCCAGGTGCAGGACCTTGCATTTTGACTTGTTGAAGCTCATGCAGTTTGCACTGGCCCATTTCTCAAGCCTGTCAAGGTCCCTCTGGATGGCATCTCTTCCCTCAAGTGAGTCCACGGCGCCACACAGCTTGGTGCCATCAGGAAATTTGCTGAGGGTGCGCTTGATGCCATTGTCCATGTCACTGACAAAGCTGTTGAACAGCACTAGACCCAGATGCAAGATGACAAGGTGTTCAGTGTCACTGCTGCCTTCTAGGATCACGCTTGCACAAACAATGTGACAGTGGTCAGAGCAAAGGCAGAGCACATTACCTGTCTTCCGCATCTTCCCCAAAATATAATTCTTCACCTAGGGAAAAAATTCAAGTGTAGCCTACTGGAGTAATAGAGGACTGTCACTACCAGATCACGGTTGCAAACCAGAAGACAGAGGCATATAAGAACATTGATGTGTTAAGACAAATTTTGAAGCATTCCTCAGTTCAATGATCCTAGTTCAGCTGCAGATCATAGAGAATTAAAGCATTTGTGTTCAGACCAGCTCCTGGATCTCAGGCCAATCCATGTCAGGACTGTTGCTCAGATGTCAAAATTACCACTATATTTGAGACTCTCAGGCCTTCTGTGAGCCACTGAAACACAGAAGACCAATCTGACTGGGCTTCTAACTAGCACTACTGTCTGGAACCACCACCTACAGGTCGCTGTTCAGCATGCACGTGTGGAAGCTTCACAGATAGTTTTTCTGTCTGCTCTTAAATAGTTTGCTAGGTTTGTGTCTTTTGTTGAACAGGCCAGCCTTGTATACTAAGCAGATGAAGCTGTTAGAGCTCTTGATAACATTATGGTATTAAGTGCATATAGTCTATGTCAGATATTAATTACTGTTGGAAAATGCCAACTTCCCTTTATGTAGAAAGCAAGGATCTGGATTTCAAACATGAAAGAGGGCTTTGGAAGCATGAATCTAAACCAGAAAGCAAGCAAGAACTTCTGTCTGTCAATTTTAGAAATTTTTTGATTGGCTATTCTAGAAATCTGAAGTTCAGTTCAAGTCCCTTGTGTAATTGCCATTATTTCTCACTAATCTGAAATTCATTGAATTGGTATGAAGGAAATAAAATATTATCTTAAAGATAACATGATTAATGATTTCAAACACTGTTCACTGAACTAAAATTAGATCACAATGAGAAACAATCCAAACTACTATTTGGGGTAGTTTTGCTTATAATTTTTTCATCCTAGAGGCACCGTTCACATGGTCTGAAGACTACGTAAGTGCAGAACATCTGTTTAATAGTAGATCCTTTCCTGAAGCAGTTAGCTTCTTAGAGCATGCTTTCCATGTGAACCCTTCTGAAGAATGAAAATCCACTTCTACAAAAACCATCCATGAATTTATATGTGCACACATATACACTTTTGAGGTTTGTGCAAAACCTAAAAGAATGAGTTTCTTCTTAGGAAGAGATTTCCAAGAAAAAAAATTCAGGATAATTGGAAGAGAATCTTGCAGCCTGCCAGCTGTCTGTCCACAAAACTCTCGAGTTTTGCTTTCTCTTTTCAAGCAAGAAGTCATGTTGCCAAGAAGATGCCCAGGTAGGTAGTTAGGGAACTCTAATTTTCCTAATGGAAATAACATTTTCAGCAAGGTTTACATTTTCTGGAAAAAGCCTGCCAATGAAAATCTGCCACCTAACTCCACTGGTTTTACACAATAGACATAAATTTTCTTGATGTGAAGAATGAAGCAGAGATATTTGGCAAATGAGTAGAAACTGCAGAATAGCATTTTTTTTCTCTCAGTAATTGTGAAAAATATAAAAGGATTGTTTTAAATAACAGAATTATTCTGAAAGGTATAATTCAAATGGCCTCCAAATAACTCAGGAAAGTGGGAACCAGTTAAAAATGTAAATGAAAAAAAAAGTTAAAGTATAATCAGCAAAATGCTTTCTCTCATCCTTACACTTTTTATTTCTTGAAGTTGCTTATCTTTGAAACAAGATTGCATAACTACTTCACCCACTAATGACAATATTGCAACTAGGATGGAAAAAGCAGCAACAAACCAGGGCAATATATAGCATTTAAGACACAAATGCATAACATTGTATTCAAATGATAATGTGAGGAGAATGGGGTAACAGGTCAGCTGACATCTGATCAAGACAGATTCAGCCATGTTTTAATGTTGTGGAAAGATTAATTTCATTCTGATGGGACATAAAAGCACACACAGGGAGATGTGTAAACCTAAATACACAGCTACGCTATGAGGGAAGAGCCCAATTTCTTCTAGTTTTGAATGAAGATTTTGCAGAATTATCGGAGTTAAATCTCCCCTTCATTCCTGTCCTCCCATCTCTTTTCACTCATGGAATCGCAGAATGTTTGGGGTTGGAAAGGACCTCAAAAGATCATCTAGTCCAACCCCCCTGCCAGAGCAGGATCACCTACAGTAGGTCACACAGGAACATGTTCAGATGGGTTTTGAATGTCTCCAGAGAAGGAGACTCCACAACCTCCCTGGGCAGCCTGTGCCAGTGCTCCGTCACCCTCACAGTGAAAAAGCTTTTCCTAATGTTTCTATGGAACCTCCTGTGCCCCAGCTTGCATCCATTGCCCCTTGTCCTGTCATTGGACATCACTGAGAAGAGCCTGGCTCCGTCCTCCTTGAGGTATTTATAAACATTAATGAGGTCACCCCTCAGCCTCCTCTTCTCCAACATCAAGAGACCCAGCTCCTTCAGCCTTTCCTCTTTGTGGCTCTTTGCTGGACTCTCTCAAGCAGTTCCCTGTCTCTCTTGAGCTGAGGGGCCCAGAACTGGACACAATATTAAAGATGTGGCCTCACCAGGGCAGAGTAGAGGGGGAGGAGAACCTCTCTTGACCTACTAGCCACCCATCTTCTAATCCATCCCAGGATGCCATTGGCCATCTTGGCCACAAGGGCACATTGCTGGCTCATGAGTATCCTGCTGTCCACTAGGACCCCAGGTCCGTTTCCCCTACACTGCTCTCCAACAAGTCAGTCGCCAACCTATACTGGTACTTGAGGTTGTTCTTTCCCAGATGAAAAACTCTACACTTGCCCTTGTATTTCAGACAATTTCTTGCTGCCCAACTCTTCAGCCTGTCTAGGTCTCACTGAATGGCAGCACAAGCCTTGTGGTGTGTCAGCCACTCCTCCCAGTTTTGTGTCATCAGCAAACCTGCTGACAGTGCGCTCTACTCCCTCATCCAGGTCACTGATGAATATATTGAATAGTACCAGTCCCAGTACAGACCCCCGAGGGACTCCACTAGATACATGCCTTCCAGCTAGACTCTGTCCCATTGATCACAACTCTCTGACTTCCTCCCTTCAACCAGTTCACAATCCACCTCACTACCCAATCACCCAGATCACATTTCCTCAGTTTAGCTACAAGGATGCTCTGGGAGCAGCTGTCCAATGCTTTACTGAAATCCAGATAAACCACGTCCTCTGCACTGCAATCATCAATCCACCTGGTTATATCCTCATAAAAGGCTATCAGGTTGGTCAAAGAAGACTTCCCTTGGGAAAAACCATGGTGACTGCTCCTAATGACC